TATCAAGTTATAGAAGTGCACATTGTTCATTTGTCCTGATCTGGTGCATGAAATGTATTTCATTTTGTGGTTGTGCGATTTGTGCTCATACTGTATTGTGATGGCCATTGGCTATAAACAAGAAACTCTATTGATTTATTTTATAGAAGTGAGGGTAGTAAATGGAAGTTGTCTGGGTTTTCAGGTGTACTGGTGAATGTCAGAAAAGGTTGAACCAAGATGATTTGAGCTTGTCTAGAATTTTTGCTTTTGATCCTTCGGTAGTCTGAACCATACCTTTAAAAAGAGGGGCGTCAAGAGATATTTAAAATAAAAATGTTTACTACAAGAATTTGAAAACTTGACATGTTCTCCTTACTGAAAAACCAGTCCCCTGAAAACAGAGACAAATCCCTTGCTCCTTAAAAGACAGTTGCCTGTTTATATATGCATTACCCTACTTAGATTTGCATAACACAATTAGCATAATTACAAATGTACTGTATATATCAAATTAGTATTTGCAGCACCGCCTCCCACTGCTGTTTTCATTTGTCCAAAAATAGATATATTTCCCAATAATTCCATGGTAAAGGTGCCAGATCTCCAGGCTCCTGGAAACAGATTGTTAAATTACTAGTTATGTTAATTGTCTTGATGCCCTCTTTGGGGCAGTTTTTCCTTGTAAAAAAAATGCTTGATATTTTTGATGTGTGGGGGAGAATTCTTCCAATCTTTGCAAGATAGAATCCCTGTTCCTGTAACTCTGCCTCCTCAGAATTTCCTGCTCCCTCCAATATTTTCCCAGCACCACCATTCTCCTTCGCTGCCCCTGATTCCTGAAGCTTCGCCCTAGAATAAAGGAGGAACCAAAATGCCCACTCCCTGCTTTTCGCTTTGCCATGGGAGGCGTTGAAAATGGAGTACAGGTTTGTTGACTTTTGAAAGGGAGGGCTTACCAGTGACAGTGATGGCATTCCTCCTGGCAACTGGTGGCAGAAGCATCACTATAAAACTGGCAGCAGCGACAAGAATGGAACTTGGAATTCACTGTTGCTTCCTCTACCAACAGAACCTGCCTTGGAAATGGTTCTTTTTCTTCCTCCTTTTTTGTTTAATGTGTCTACCTCATCCAGACTGGGAATTTATTGTCTATTAGTCTCCTGTTTGGCACTGTGCAAAGGGACAGGCAAAAGAGTACTGCAATACCTGGGGGGGGGGGGGGACATGTATAGGACTTTACCTTAGCTGTTATTGGTTATTTTCAGTTTGTTTTGTGTTGAGTATAATCTGATGCATTTGCATCTTGCATTGTGTTTGCTTGTGTGCATCTCTATACAGTGGTACCTCTGGATACGAACGGGATCCGTTCCGGAGCCCTGTTCTCATCCAGAAGTGAACGCAACCCGCGACTGCACGTCTGCGTGTGCGCTGGTCGCAATTCGCCGCTTCCGCACATGCACGTGATGTCATTTTGACCATATGCACATGCGCGAGTGGCGAAACCCAGAAGTAACGCGCTCTGTTACTTCCGGGTCACTGTGGAGCACAACCCGAAAGCGCTCAACCTGAAGCACATTTAACCCGAGGTATGACTGTATCTAGAGCCGGTGTGGCAGAATGCTTAGAGTGCTGGGCTAGGACTTGGGAGACCCCAGTTCAAATCCCCACTCAGCCAGGAAGCTCACTGGGCTAGTCACCATCTTTAGGCTACCTCACAAGGTTGTTGTGAGGATAAAATGTGTAGAGGGAGAATCAAGTACGTCACCTTGAGCTCCTTGGAGGAAAGGTGGGGTATAATAATAATAATAATAATAATAATAATAATAATAATAATATCCTGAGTAAGCACAGACATACCTGGTGTCTCCTGCTGCCCAGATATTGGGATGCACACAACTATATATCCATTGAATATTGAACTTTTGCAATTCAGATGCTAGCACAAACAGTCAACAGGCTGCTCAATTTGGGGGGTGGCAGATTGTTATGTCCTGCATGTATGATGGACGCAGCTCTCAGATCATGCATCCCTTTGTGAAAGCATGTTCTTTGGAAAATGTCAGCTACATGATCACACCATCCCTTGGATTTCACATCACTCCACACCTGAATTTTGAACTTTGTTCTCCGTGATAGGCTCCAGTAGAGAGTGCGAGAGGAGAATAGCAGAGAGAAGGCCGCTTCCAGCTTGTATCGATCTTGGCAAGATCAACAGCTCAGTGAGGATTCAAGTTGAGAGGTAATGCAGTAAAGGTAAAGGACCCCTGGATGGTTAGGTCCAGTCAAAGGCGACTATGGGGTTGCAACACTCATCTCGCTTTCAGGCCGAGGGAGCCGGCGTTTGTCCCCAGACAGCTTTCCGGGTCATGTGGCCAGCAGGACTAACCCCGCTTCTGGCACAACAGAACACCGTGATGGAAGCCAGAGCTCATGGAAACGCTGTTTACCTTCCCGGCACCTATTTGTCTGCTTGCACTGGTATGTTTTCGAACTGCTAGGTTGGCAGGTGCTGGGACAGAGTGACAGGAGCTCACCCCATCACAGGCATTTGAACCGCCAACCTTCTGATCGGCAAGCCCAAGAGGTTCAGTGGTTTAAACCACAGCACCACCCATGTCCCATCCAACATGCTGATATATTTCCTAGTGAACCGGTTCACTCACGAGAAGGCTTCCCTTTACCCTTTAACTCTGAGCCGTTGTTTCTTCATTGCAGGAGAAGAACTGAAGACACTGAACTGAAGACACTGTGAGCAGAGGCTTGCATTTAGAATCTTCTCCTAGAAATATTTTAATGGGAGCGGAATCAAAAGTAAAGTTCATAATGTGTGGAAGTTAGCAGATGGAAAGGGAGTGCATGTAAAGTACAAAACCACACTCTAAAAAGTATGAGAATGGACATTGACTTATTCACTGCTAAAAATTCTACCCCACGTTTTAGCCCAGCAGGGTCCCCAGACATGAGCAGGTTTTCAGAGGAGTGGTGCAGACTCAGAAATGCAAATGTTTATCCTTGTTTCTGGAAGAAGAAAAAAAAGACTCATAAATTAAAGATATCTTGGGGTGTAGCTAAAACAATGGATTTTGCAGCCATTTGGTGACCATTTCTTATTTATATGAGAAGTCAGTCACAGGGATCGCAAGTCTCGATAAAATATGGCTGTATTTGCTAGTCATAACATTTGCTTTGTATTTTCTTTGCATCAAGTCAGGGTTTTGTTGATGTTGTTGCATCCAATTTATTGTGCCGTTTCTTGAGATTGCGCTTTAATTTACACAGTAACGGCTGTGAACCCAGGGGTGGTTTTTTTTTGGTTTTCACAGTTTTTCTTTCTTTTTTTAAAAATAATATTTATTAATTTTCCAACAATTTAAAAACTAAAAAAAAAAAAACACAATACAAAGACACTACAAAACACTAACACATAATACTAATAAAACAAAAACAAAACCATTTCATTATCTTATCTTTCGTTCACTTATTTCCACAACCTCCTCACACCTCCCTTTTTTATTCCACTTCTGTTAATTGTTTCAGCAATTCCTTTCCATCTTCCTCTGTTTTCTATCCTATAATTATCTTAACGCATTCTAACCTTATTTTTCCCTTTAATACTCTATTAATCTATTTATACTTAATTCCTTATAACATTTCTACTAAAGCCATATAACTTCATTCCAACATTTTTCTAACATTCATTAATTTTACAGTATTTCTGTAAATAGTCTTTAAACTCTTTCCAATCTTCTTCCACCGACTCTTCTCCCTGGTCTCGGATTCTGCCAGTCATTTCCGCCAATTCCATGTAGTCCATCAACTTCATCTGCCATTCTTCCCGGGTGGGTAAATCTTGTGTCTTCCAATACTTTGCAATAAGTATTCTTGCTGCTGTTGTTGCATACATAAAAAAAGTTCTATCCTTCTTTGGCACCAATTGGCCAACCATGCCAAGTTTTTCTCTTTTTTGTTTCTCTTTTTGTATTTTATTTCATTCTATATTTCTCACTGAACTATTATTTTAACATTATAATAAAGGATTTTTCAGGGGTGGGTGGGATACAATTTTGGATAGCTCCCCAAAGTGGTGTGTGACCCTTGTCCTGCCCCCAGCGGGATTATCAGGACTGCAACAGGGTTTGACACACAGACACACACACACACCCCGCAGCTCCCCCAGCAAGCCCAGGATTCTTTCAGGAAAGCTATGCCTGTTTAAAGTGATATCACAGTGCTTAAAAAATGTAGGGTGAATGTGGCCATAGTTTGAATTGCTCTTGGAATAAGCAAAGTTCTTTCCTCCATTTCATCCCCCCCCCCAAAGCTGGAGTTTTCCCCATCTCTAATCTGACACTGACTGACTTCTCAGCTCCCTAATACTAACCATACTGTCAGAGAATAGTTCTGCTGGCTGACAACCTTGCACATTTATTTCTAAGAAGAAAAAGGTGGATTTTTACAGGCCCCCAGGTTGCTTTCGTGCAGCAAAGGTGACCTTGACTCGCCGCAAATTTCCCCCCTCCTGTGGAATAGTTCATAATAATGGAAAAGTGTGGAAACAAAGCAGAGGAAACATTTACATTTATCCCCTTGCATGAGTTCAGTTGAAGAATTGCGTGGATGATGATTCAAGCTGTCCATGGAACTATAAGGGCTTTGTTCTATTATGGTCTTGCTTATTCATGAGAAACATCCTTTGCAAGGCAGCTCATTAAGAGTCAGCCGCCAGTCCTTTTCCTAATATCTGTTACACTATAAAGAAGATCACCTAACACAGGGAAGTTTAGAACACCCACAAACATTCCTAAACATTCCAGCAGTATCCACCAATAAACGCTACTTATGCCCCATTTCACTGCACAATAAATGCATGGAAAATTCTAATAAGTGGAAAGACAACACACATCATTTCCCCAAATTTTCAAGAGATTGGGTGTGTGTGTTGTTGTTTTTTTAAAAAAAACTATCCTAGCAATTATCATCTAATTGGGATGATCTGAACCAGTAAGCTACCAGCTAGGGCCTTGGATAGCTCAGTTGGTTGAAGCATGGTGCTATTAACACCAAGGTTGCAGGTTCAATCCCCCTATGTGACATCTGCATATTCTGGCATTGCAGGGGGTTGGACTAGATGACCCTCAGGGTCCCTTCCAACTCTACAATTCTATGATTCTCTGAATCCACACCATTGAGCCAGAGGTCCAACTCAGATATCTGGCAATCGACCTGGGAAATGGCTCCCTTCCACCCTATAACGACGATATAACTCTGCTGGTACGTTAGTAGCAATCCCAAAAGAAACTTCCGTGCAACTATTTAGGTTTTCTAATGGAGTCATTACCATGTGGTATACTGGAGCACATTAGCGCGTCTTGGGAGAACTACTAATGTACCAAGAGAAATAAGTGAATTCATAAAAGCTCCTATGGGGAACTGGCTCGGTCTTTCTGAATCAGACTCCTATCAGAACAGGTAATTTTGCATCGGAAATGAGTGCTGTGCTGGGGAAATTCTCCAGTGGGTTTTTTATTATTATTCTGCCATTCCCTATTAATTAATGAGAAAAGAAATTGCATTAAAATGTGGTCAAAGGGGAGGTGCAATTTTGTGGAAATCCTAATCGGTGAGGCCAGCACGATAACTTGAGGGAACGGACTCTGCACTATTAAGTCTGCCCACCAACTCACAGGGAGGGCTAGAGGAAATGGGGGGGGGGGGATTGCTGGATTTTAGAATCTCATATTTAATATATACAGCATGCTGCCAATATTTGCACTTAAATCTGAGCAGGGCGTTAAGCCAATATTTCATATCTGAGGAGGCTCTAAAGGCATTTGATAAGAGGAAAGTATCTGTAAAGGACTCTCTCCATGGAAAACAGTCAACCAATGAATCAACGGTTTAATCATATCGTCTGTTATTATGGCACAGCACCATGGCCGAGCTGCCAGGTGGAATAAATCAATAGTGTTATTCTTAAGTTGAACAGGAATCTGTATAATGGGAGCCGACGGAGGGAACCAAATGGGACAGTCCATACAATGTAAATTATCAGAGTCAAAGTATATAAATAGAGCCCTGGAGGGAAGGAGGGAGGCAGAAAGCCACACACATGGAGGAAGCTGTATAGATGAGACTGTCTCATTGAGGCATATTGAGGGGTGCAGGAGAAATACAAGTCAGTTTGCATTTCAAGGCAAAATGATCTGATTTGCACTTTTTGAAAAAGCATCCTAACTGAAACAATGAAAAGCAATGGCAAACCTAGACGGCATCTTAAAAAGCAGAGACATCGCCTTGCTGACAAAGGTCCATATAGTTAAAGCTCTGGTTTTCCCAGTAGTGATGTATGGAAGTGAGAGCTGGACCATAACGAAGGCTTATCGCCGAAGAATTGATGCTTTTGAATTATGGTGCTGGAGGAGACTCTTGAGAGTCCCATGGACTGCAAGAAGATCAAACCTCTCCATTCTGAAGGAAATCAGCCCTGAGTGCTCACTGGAAGGACAGATCCTGAAGCTGAGGCTCCAATACTTTGGCCACCTCATGAGAAGAGAAGACTCCCTGGAAAAGTCCCTGATGCTGGGAAAGATGGAGGGCACAAGGAGAAGGGGACGACAGAGGACCAGATGGTTGGATAGTGTTCTTGAAGCTACCAGCATGAGTTTGACCAAACTGCGGGAGGCAGTGGAAGACAGGAGTGCCTGGCATGCTCTGGCCTATGGGGTCACGAAGAGTTGGACACGACTAAATGACTAAACAACAACAACAAATTTCCTCCATCAAAATTAAATAATACAATTCCCAGCCCCTGGAGCTATTATCTGGAAAATTAATTCACTTAAAGCACCCATTAGCTATCCAATGAATTGGCATGGTCATCTGTCATGGATGCTTTAGTTGAGATTCCTGCATTGCAGGGGGATCCCTTCCAACTGTACAATTCTATGATTCAATGAGTCCATTTCTAATTACACTGAAGTGGCAAAGTGGAAATATTAAAACCATTAAAAATTATTCGGAGATGTTGCCCACAGTGCAGGTGCCAAAACACTTTTTGGAAGAAAGGAGTGTGTGGCGTGCTCTGGTCCATGGGGTCATGAAGAGTCGGACGTGACTAAACGACTAAACAACAACAACAAACTGAAACACAGCGATCTTATCAAATGTGCACTCCTTCAAATTTTACAATGCAGTTCTCCTACCAATTATGTGTACACAAAAAATGGATGTACAGCGATCAGTTGTGCATGTAAATGGATATGCTAGTGAAGATAAAAATGCATTGCCCACACACCCATAAAGAACACACAAGGAGCCTTAACTGTGGTGGAAAAGATAACATTTATTTGAATGTAACAACGTAGAGGATCTGCAAATAACCAAATAAATAAAGTTAGCCAATTCAAAATATAGTCCTGGCAGGGAAATGCCCTCCTCAACCCTGGGCATGTTTACAAGCTTCACCTGTGGACCCACAGCAAAGGACTAGAAGGCATTTCTCCTCCTTGCTATGTAAACCTTGAGTGTGTGAACCCAGCAAGCATGCAGTGGTCCTGCTGGTTTGACATTCCCCCCAGTGCGCCTGCCAAGTCTACAGGGCACCCCAAAGGACCCAATGCCAAGGCAATGTCGGGTGACAAGACTGCCGTTAATCCATTAATGCTTTGGGTATTTACCACACCAGATCACAACTAGTCTTTCCTGCCCAAACTGAAAACCAATTAAACCAATCAAAAATGCCACTCCAAGAACAGGACCCCCATAAGTATGGGGGAGGTAAAAAAGAGGAGCTCTACAGCCAGTCAGGGGCACACCCCACCCCCACTCACCTGTTCACCAAATCATGTGTTCAGGCTTCCCCACAACTGTCATAACTGAATATGTGGACCCCTAACATGACAGCTTGTTGTTCTAAAGCTTGTTGTTGTAGTAGTAGTAGCCCTGTCAAGAGTAGCCAACCTTTACAGACAGCTGAACGAGTACAGCTTTGTGCTGTAGTAACTTCCTACTCCCTTGCCTTTTTGCAGGAATGTGTAACTACGGGACTGAAAATATGTGAAAACTTCCTAGGTAATAAAACAATGTGTTTGAAGCTTCATGGGGGAAATTTATTACTCTCCTTTGGCTTTGTATACTGTTAGTTTATGAGTCTTAGCAAGAGAGCGAACAGTGTTCATAAACCAAGCTGGCAGTAAGAATGGTGTCCAGGAGCAGTTTTGACATCTCTCCTTCAGCAAACCCAAAGCTGGATGTGTGGGCTCTGTCAGCAAGGAATGTGCTGTGATTTAGGAAGGAGGTGAAGGCAAGTTGGGTGGCTGAGCAAGGTTATTGTACTCAGGAAGACCTGAGTACATCGTGTCCAGGTGTCTCTGTAAGCTGAAAGTGCCGCGTAATATTACTTCCGCACTTGCAAGCAATCGATCCCTTCGTGTGGCAGCCCCTACACTTTGGAACTCCCTGCCCATTGATATTAGGTGGGTGCTTTTACAGTAGAGTGGTACCTCGGGTTACAAACACCTCGGGTTACAAACACTTCGGGTTACAGACTCCACTAACCTGGAAGTAGTACCTCAGGTTAAGAACTTTACCTCAGGATGAGAACAGAAATTGCATGGTGGCGGCAGCAGGAGGCCCCATTAGTGGCACCTCAGGTTGAGAACAGTTTCAGGATAAGAACGGATCTCCGGAACAAATTAAGTTCATAACCAGAGGTATACCACTGTACTGTTTGGAGCTAAAACCTTTGCTGTTGTTGCTTAAAGCAAGCCTGCCCAGACATGTACTTTTGACAAGTATTTTAGCCCGTGGTTTTATTTGGTGCTGCATATTTTTAAAACTGCTGATTTTATTTTGAAGAAAATTAGGCTAACTTGTGTTTAATAATAACTTGCTTTGCTGGCAATTTTGATGTATATTTTATGTATTAAAAAGCCACTTAGCTAAGCAGTATATTAACCCTGTTAAATAGATTTTTTAAAAAGTTTTAACAATTGAAATATCAGGTACATTCTCCTCTCACTCTTCATCAACATCGCAGTGAATGGGGAGTGGAGGTTTGAATCTTCCATCTCCAGCTGAAGTTTCTATGTTGCCCTACCATGTGGCAATTAGTTTTAGCAAACAAGAAAAAAAAAGCTCCTATTAATGTCAGTGAAAGTTTGTTCACCCAAATGCTAATTGCTTTGGGTGTGTTATTTTCACAGAGATTGTGGCTGGGAAGGCTAAAATCTACTCTTACTACGTGCTGCGAACTTTGTAACAACCTCCCCACTTTCTCCCTGGCCTTGTATCTCATTTTAAATAACACACCGCACATTCAGAAAAGGCCAACCAAAATGACTAAGGGGCTGGTTCCCCTTTGGAGAAAGGTTACAACATCTGCGGCTTTTCGGTTTAGAAGGAAAAGGTGAACAAGGGGAAGACGTGGCAGAGGTTCGTGAAATGAAACTGTCTCAAGAACAGTTTGTCTCCGCTTTTCAAAACACTAGAAACCAGGGCCATTCAGAGAAGCTGAGTGTCGGAGGATTCGGAACAGACAGAAGGAGCTACATCTTCAGGCAGTGCATAGACAAACCATGGGATTTGCTCTCAGCAACTTGGATGGCTTTAAAGAGGGAAAAGGTTCGACAAAGATCGGAATAAAACAGACCCCATTAGGAAAATACTAAACCTGATAGAACACAGCAAAACAAGAAAATCCCCACTAATGGTCATGTCTCTAGACATCCTCAAAGACTTTCATAGAATCATAGAATCATAGAATCATAGAATCATAGAGTTGGAAGAGACCACAAGGGCCATCGAGTCCAACCCCCTGCCAAGCAGGAAACACCATCAGAGCACTCCTGACATATGGTTGTCAAGCCTCTTTGATGGTGTGGAACGGAAATACTTCTTAGAAGTACTAACCAGAATGATATTTGGCCCTAACTTCCGACAAATCCTTAAACAAATTTACAGTGGTACCTCTGGTTAAGAACTTAATTCGTTCCGGAGGTCCGTTCTTAACATGAAACCGTTCTTAACCTGAGGTACCACTTTAGCTAATAGGGCCTCCTGCTGCTGCTGCCATGCCGCCGTGTGATTTGTGTTCTCATCC